AGGAGAGGAGGAAGGGGGAGTTGGGAGAAGGGAGGGTGGGGAGAAGGAGTTGGGAGAGGGAGGGGATGAGAGAGAGAGAAGGGAGAATTTGGAGGTGAAGGTAAGAAGGAGGAGAGGGAATTGGGAGAGGGGAGGATGAGAGAGAAGGGAAGGAGAAGGATGAGGGAGAAGGGAAGAAGGAAGGAGAGGGAAATGAAAAGGGAAAGGGGAGAGGGGAGAGGGAGGAAGAGGGAGAAGGAGGGAGGGAGGAGAAGCAGGATGGGGAGCAAGGAGAAAAGGGAGCTGGGAGAGGGAGATGAAGGAGAGAGGTAAAGGAAAGAAGGAGGGAGAATGAGAAGAGAGAGAGAGAGAGAGAGAGAGAGAGAAGAGAGAGAGAGAGAGAGAGAGAGAGAAGAGAGAGAGAGAGAGAAGAGAGAGAGAGAGAAGGGGATTGGGAGGTAAAAGGAAAAGTGAATTAACGAAAAATTAAGAAAAGAGCAGATGAGTGAAACAGGATCAAAGTAGAAAGATTAAAAGAAAGTAAAGAAGATGAAAGATGACGGAGAAGAGAAGAAGGGACAAGGAAATAAGAAAATAAATAAATAAATAAATAAATAATAAAAAAAGGCCGAAAAAGAGGAAACGAAAAAAAAATAAAAAGACAAAAAAAAAAAAAAAACGGAGAGAGACAACAGAATAGGAGAAAGCGTGACAAACAAATGAAGATAACGAAGGCAGGGGGGGGGGGGTGGCTGAAACAAGGGCATGAGGATAGTTTATTGTTAGAATTGTTTATATCAAATCGGAAATCCGTTTATTCAACAGATCGCATCCAACGTTTAGCTTCTTGTCAAATTATGCGCATGTTTGTTTATACGATGGAACGGCGCAGGTGTATCTCTCTCTTTCCGTCTATCTATCTGTTTATCTAAATATCTATCTGTCTATCTATCTATCTAATTATTTTTCTGTCTATCTATCGATCTATCTAATATTCTAATCTATCTATCTATCTAATTATGTCTGTCTATCTATTGATCTATCTAAAAATATCTACTGTCTATCTATCTATCTAATTATTCTGTCTATCTATCGATCTATCTAAATATCTATATACTATCTAATTATTTTCTGTCTATCTATCGATCTATCTAAATATCTATCTGTCTATTTTCTATCTAATTATTTTTCTGTCTATCTATCGATCTATCTATAATATCTATCTATCTATCTATCTAATCATTCTGTCTATCTATCGATCGATCTAAATATTCTATCTATCAAAATATCTAATTATTTTTCCGTCTATCTATCTGTCTATCTAAATATCCTATCTGTCTATCTATCTATCTAATTATTTCGTCTATCTATCGATCTATCTAAATATCTATCTGTCTATCTATCTATCTAATTATTTTTCTGTCTATCTATCGATCTATCTAAATATCTATCTGTCTATCTATCTATCTAATTATTTGTCTGTCTATCTATCGATCTATCTAAATATCTATCTGTCTATCTTCTATCTAATTATCTGTTATCTATCTATCTAAATATCTTCTGTCTATCTATCTATCTATTATTTTCTGTTTCTATCGATCTATCTAAATATCTATCTGTCTATCTATCTATCTAATTATATTTTCTGTCTATCTAGATCTATCTATATATGTCAATCTATCTATCTCTGTCTATCTATCGTCTTATCTAATATCTGCTATCTATCGATCTATTAAATATGTATATTGTCTAAATATCTATCTATCTATATATCTATCTAAATATCTAAATAATCTAAAGTCTGTAACTATCTATTATTGTCTATCTATCTAAATGCCCTATCTCTATCTCTATCTATCTATCTAAATGTCTATCTATCTAAATGTCTATATGTCTATCTATCTATCTAAATATTTGTCTATCTATCTATCTAAATATCTATCTGTCAATCTATCTATATCTCTATCTGTTTCTATCTATCTATCTAAATATCTATCTACCTAAATACATATCTGTCTATCTATCTATCTAGATATATATGTCTATCTATCTCTCTCTCTCTCTATCTATCTATCTAATCATATATAACACCTACATATAATAACAGCTATCTACCTATCTATCTGTCTGTCTATTTATCTACCTACATGTCTATCTATCTCTTCTCCTTCGCTCTTCCTGTCACGCTCCAAACAAGAAGAATAAAACTAAAAGGAAAAGAGGAAGAAAAGGATTAAAGAATTTGATGATTAAGAGGAAAATAATAAATAAAGAAGATGATGATGAAGAGGAAAAGAATGATGATGATGATGAAGAGGAAAAAAATGGAGAAGATGATGAATGAAAAAAAAATGAAGATGTTGGTGATAAAGAAAAAAAATGAAGAAGATGGTGATGATGAAGAGGAAAAATGAAGATGTTGGTGATAACGAAGAGGAAGAAAATGATGATGATGATGAAGAGGAAAAAAATGAAGAAGATGACGATGATGATGAAGAGGAAAAGATGATGTTGGTGATGACGAAGAGGAAGAATGAAGATGATGAAAAGGAAAAAAATAAGACGATGGAAGGAAAAAAAAAGGATGATGATGATGAAGAAGAAAAAATGAAGATGATGATGAAGAAAAAAGGACGATGGTGATGAAGAGGGAAAAAATAAAGATGATGAATAGGAAAAAAATGATGAAGAGGAAAAAAATGACGATGATGATGAAGAGGGAAAAATGATGAATAGGAAAAAAAGAGAAATGATGATAAAGAGGAAACAAATGATGATAATGATGAAGAGATAACGAAGCGGAATAATTAGAAGAAAAAAAAATCTATTTCGATAGACGAGACGACTCCCGAATATCTATTTTCGAACCCGAGAGACACCCAATTCAAGAACACTGCTGGACCGGCTCCTGGGAGTCTCAGCACACAGCCACGTGTCTTAATTATCATCCTCACCTGTAGCTGACACCTCCTCCCCCTCCCCCTACCCCCCACATCGCCCTCTCCTCCCTCCCCCACTCGCCCTTATGGTCAAATTCCCCCTCTCCCCTCTTCCCCCTTCCCCCCCCTTGTTCTCTCCTCTCTCCTCCTCGCTCTCACGGTCAAATCCGCCGCTGTTTCCTTCTCTGCTCTCCTCCCCGTCTTCCTCCCGCTATCTTCTTTCTTCTCTCTCTCTCTGTCTGTTTATCTCTCTCTTTCTTTGTCTGTCTCTGTCTTGCTCTCTCTCTCTCTCTTTCTTCTCTCTCTCTGTCTGTCTGTCTCTCTCTTCACTCTCTCTCTCTCTCTCTCTCTCTCTCTCTTCTTCTTCTCTCTCTCTCTCTCTCTCTCTCTCTCTCTCTCTCTCTCTCTCTCTCTCTCTCTCCTTCCTCTTCCCTTTTTTCCCTTTCGCATGCATACTCATCTCTCCTGTTCACATTGTTCTAGCACTGTTAAATGGGAAATACTTAGGCAGGCAAGAGGAACACGCAAAAATGGTTTTAATTTTCAACAGGTGAACACGCACTGGCAGGTTCTTAAAAGATGAACATAATAAAGATCATCAGCTGGAACAAATGAACTTATATTTTCATTTTTTTTTTACTTATGAAATCATTTAATCTATATATCCATTTATTCATCTATCCATCTCTTTATCTATTCATTTATTCATCGATTTGTTCAAGATAAGGGTCAGTTCTGAACATATAAAGCATTACCATAGAGATGAATAGAATAAAGAGATGAACACACGGGAATGATTTCAAAACTGACGAACATTTATGAAACGGCATGTTCTGAATAGATTTAGACACATGAACGATTTCTGAACATACGAACATTTTTGAAAGAATAGATCGTAAGCTGCTGAACACCCGAGGGATATTTCTGAACAGATCATTTATGTAAGAATAGATCATAGACGGATAAACACACAATAGTCATTCCCCAACAGACGAACATTTGTAGAAAAAAACTCTAAAAAGAACGAACAGACACAAGTGATGCCAGAGAAGAACCCCCCCCTTAAAATATAAAATCATCGCATTTCTAAAATAACAACAACCACAACAATAACAACAACCACAACAACAACACCTCCCCCCCCAAAAAAAAAAAAAAAAACGGAAAACACTTTATCCAGACCCCAGCAAATCCTCCAGTTTCTCGCTCCCAGACCGTCCAGACCCTCCGAATCCACCACACAGACCCTCCAAATTTCTCCTCCAGACCCTCCGAATTCGCAAATTTTCACCTCCAAGACCTTCCAAATTCTTCCTCCAGCCCTCCGAATAGCCACACGGACCCTCAAATTCCCTCCTCCAGAGAACCCTTCCAATCCTAGCCTCCAGACCCTCAAAATTCTCAATCCTAGCCCAGACCCTCCAAATCTCTCCTCCAGACCCTCCGAATCCACCTCCAAACTCCAGACCCTCCAAATTCTCTCCTCCAGACCTCCGAATCTAGCCTCCAGACCCTCCGAATTCCCTCCTCCAGACCTCCAACTCCTCCAGACCTTCCAATCCTAGCCTCCAGAAACCCTTCCAAATCCTAGCCTCCAGACCCTCCAAATTCTCTCCTCCAGACCCTCCGAATCCACCCACACAGACCCTCCAAATTCTCTCCTCCAGACCCTCCGAATTCCAGCCTCCAGACCCTCCGAATTCCCTCCTCCAGACCCTCCAAATTCTCTCCTCCAGACCCTCCGAATCCTAGCCTCCAGACCCTCCGAATTCCCTCCTCCAGACCCTCCGAATCCTCACCTCCAGACCCTCCGAATTCCAGCCTCTCCGAGACCTCCGAATCCATCCCAGACCCTCCGAATTCCTCCTCCAGACCCTCCCTCCAGCCCACAGACCTCCGAATCCAGAGACCCTCCGAATTCCAGCTCCAGACCCTCCGAATCCTAGCCTCCAGACCCTCCGAATCCTCACCTCCAGACCCTCCGAATCCTCCTCCAGACCCTCCGAATCCACCCACACAGACCCTCAAATTCTTCCTCCAGCCTAGCCACAAGACCCTCCTAACCTCCAAATCCAATCCTAG